CGCGCTGTGATGACGTCAGGTACGCGGTTTCGTCGAGCGCGCTTTAGTCGAACACGGTTTTGTGGTGGAACCGCCACCCCCATCTATTTGCCAGGAATTGAGAGGGCTGGATGCCATGATCTTAGTTTTCTTAACGTTGAGTTTCAAGCCAACATTTGCACCCTCCTCCTTCACCTGCATCAAGAGGCTCTTTAGTTCCTCTTTGCTTTCTGCCATTAGAGTTCCATGTAGGGACAGCCAAAACTTTCATTCCACACACACAAACACCCTTTGAAGGTTTTATTTTGAAAGCAAGATAAAAGTCTCAGACTCCAAAAGGAACAGCTAGACTTCTGTTGCCGTCTCCGTTTCCAGGGAGATGCAAACTGCAGAGGAGTGCCAGTCCAAGAGAGTCAAGAGAATTAAAACATGGTAAGGAGAGAGTTTACTGATCTAAAGTAACCTTTCTTTCTAAAGGATTCTTTAAATGAAAGGGAAATGTGTAAGAACGGCCAAATCCAGAACCTGTAGCTCAGACGACGATGGTAAAAATGGAGACACGTATATAAAACCAGAGGAATTTGCATTCATGTTTATTAGTCTCGTCTCCAGGTCTTCTTGTTTTAATTATGAGAGTATTCAATGTTCAAATTTAATTCTGAAGTTTCAAATTAAGGAGAAATTTCCTATCGGTGACGACAATTAATCAGAGGAACGGCTTGCCTCCAGAAGTTGTGGATGTCCCATCACTGGACGTTTTTAAGAGAGTGGACGCAATCATTCATTCATTTTATTTATTTAGTTTGTCACTCATGTAGAAGATAACAGGAATAAGAATAAACATGAATAAGAACACAGGAAATAGGTACAAATAAATGGGAACAGTCGGGCAGGGATGGTAGGCACTCTGGTGTGCTTATGCACGCCCCATTTACGCACTTCAGGAATGGGGTGAGGTCCACGCTAGCCAGTTTAAAGTTTTGGGGGTTTGAGAATGTAACAATGGAGTCGGGTAGAGCAGTGGTCCCCAACCCCCGGTCCGCGGACCGGTGCCAGGCCGTGGAGTACCTGGCACCGGGCCGCGCAGAGGCCGGGGGCCATGATCACTGCAGCGGCCGGGGGCCATGATCGCTGCAGCGGCCGGGGGCCATGATCGCTGCAGCGGCCGGGGGCCA